TCCATCACGACAGAAACCCAATATTTTTTACTGTTGCCTTTGTTATATTTGTGTTTTATTTGTGCTGATAAATAAATAATATATATATATATATATTATATATATTATATATTATATATATAAAGTTTACATTATTTATTTATGGCACAGTGGCTAGAATGCAGTATGGCAGGATACTTCTGCTGACTGCTGGCTGACTGCAATTTGGCAGATCAAATTTCATGAGGCTCAAGGTTGACTCAGCCTTCCATCCTTCTGAAGTGAGTAAAATGAAGGCCTGGGTTGTTGGGGGCAATATGCTGACTCTGTAAACCGCTTAGAGAGGGCTGTAAAGTACTGTGAGGCAGTATTGCTATTATAAAAAAGAATCAGAAAAACTGATATTTTATTGACTATTCTATGACAATGCAAACACTTCACCATTTACCTTACAAGCATCAACTCCACCTTCATCATACCCAGCACATATCATGTTTTCAGTAATATTGTACTCTGGCATCAGTTCCTTGCATTTCTGATGTGTTATAAGAGGGACTTCTGCTTCTTGCAATATACTTGAGACTGAATCTATTTGAAAACCATAAGTATATGCATTGTTGTAACTGATAAAATGATACATATCATGTAAGTCAAATATTATACAGTATTGTCATTCCTATAGTCTACGACTTCCCTCCAAAGCAGGACCATGCAAGGCCCATTGGATTTTCATTCCCCAAAAGCTGCATCTCATGTAAGTAATGTGGCTCTCTTACTACTTCGGTCTTCACCTTCCAGCTAAAGCTTCCATTTGCAATAGAGTGAAAAGATTTCTGTGCAGTTCTCCAAGCTGCACGGAAACCAGATTTATGCACAGCAGAATTGTAATACAATTCTGTACATTTAGTACATCTGTACTAAATTGCAGTACACAATTTAGTACAGATGTAAACAAAATCCACAGTGGATTATAGGAGCATATTAGTGAGAGTTTACAGAATGGCATGGATAAGAAGTTCTTACAGTTTTCTAGCTTTCAACTTTCTCTAGCAACTGTTCCTCCTTCACTTATCTATTTTTGCTTGTCAAGATCAAAAAGTTATTAGTTCTAAAAAAAGTGCTTGATTAGTTGGTGTGACATTCCATCCCTGACTCACAGAGTTGACCTTTGAATTTATAATTAGAGAATCATAATATTAATGCAATACAGATGGAAGGTAGAAGTAAATATCTACCTCACTTCTGCTTTTTTAATAAAAAAGCTGTCATTCAATGTTTCTGACATAAGTACACTCCAGCTGGAAGAATAGAATAGCTGATAGTTGTAGCATCGTTAAAAGTGAACAGATTGATTATGGCATAGATATATTGTTTATAATTTTTATTCTCTGCACCCATGTGTGTAGTAACAATGAAGCACAACATTCCGTGCATCACTGTATTCCTTTAATTAGGTAGGTTCTAGTCCATTACTATTTATGCCATAATAAATCTAGTCTCGAAAGCGCTGCATGATGTTTGTTCTTCCCTTATTTATTAACTACTTTAAATATTGTTCTCCAGACATTTATTGTGCATGGTCAGCTTGATGGCTTGGGACCTAGGTGACATTATGTGTATTTTTCATGTTATGCTGTAGTTTGAATTCATTGATCCCAATTTTAAAAAGTTCCCAATTTAAAAAATGTTTTTATACTCTAATGTGCTTTGCAATTGCAAAATAAATATATGCATTATTAACTGCAAATCCTACTAGGGGGGCAAGTAATATGCTTTAGGGAAGATCTATGCATAACTGAAAAACAACCATGAAAAACAACAAGCATTGCACTACTTAGCAAACTAGTTTTAGCTGTTTAGCTGCATTCTTTGTCAGATTTTTTTGGGGGCTAAATTTAAAGCCACTTGGGGGTACCAAGGATCTCCTTTCTATATTTTTTGTTTCCTGCAATCTACTTGCATAATTTACTTCCATGTTCCATGTTCCTTGGCTATGTGTGGTATAAGTTGCAATTATAAATAATGAATAAGGACTTCTCAGTGGTGGCTTCCATTGTTTGAAATGTATTTTTAGTCTAAATCTAATTTATTGTCAATATTATGTATTCTTTATGTAGTTCACTTAATATCTGGTTATTCAAGATGCCTTTATTAAAATAAAAAAATGAATTTTCTATGGTAATATTTGTTTTAATCCTATTTATCTTTATTTTATGTTTAATCATTAAAAACTGCTTTTGTGTCAAAATCTTTACCACTTTATGATTAGTTTATCATTCTATATGAGAGGCCAACAATTTTAGTGGTTTTCATTTTCTACTTTTAATGTGATGACTACACAATATTTTTTTAAAAAAATCAAAGTTTGTTTGTTTTTGGAAAAAAAACTACTTATGTACATTTTCCCAACCACTACTTTGGATGGAAAATTAATATAAAGCTTCAATGGATCTGTTTCATAAAATATACTCTAATATTATGACAGTTGATATATCTGAAAGAAAGATGTTTTTATACCCTAAGTTATAGTGATTGCATCAGGAAAATACAATAAAATGAAGAAAAAGATTTAACACAACAGTAACATACCTTCCAGTGTCGTTCTTCCCCAGCCAGCAACAGAGCATTTAGTGCCTGGCAAAAATTGTTTATTTTTTTCTGGGAAGCAAATGGGCTGAATATAATCTGCATAAAAGAAATGAACAATTATACCTGCATTCTCCAGTCTTTAATAATAACATTGCACAAATTGTTTTGCTGAAAAATAAGCTTAAAAATTATCAGGATTACCACTTTATGATGTTGACTATTGGAAATTATACCAATTATTAAAAATATCTCTTAGATTTAGACCCTAATCTGTTAATAACCCAAAGGCAAGGCTGCAAGAGAAAATCATTTTACCTGTGTAATTCACTCTAAATTGGAGATGCATCAAAGCAATGTCACTGTCTTTTGTTCGCTTATTATAGTGAGGATTGATAATAATCTGATCAATCTCTCGGCTCACAGTTTGAGGATATGATAGATTGAAAATTGTGTGCAGGCCAAGAAATGCTTTCCAACGAGATGGTTTTAAATTCCTCCTAAGTCAAAATAACACATGCTTAAATTATGACTTGAAATAGCTTGTGAGATGTAATTTTTGTATATTTTAACATCTGAACCACATTGACACAATATGTTCAAACACAACTTTTACTAATTTCAGTACTATTGAGAGTCAAGGATAGGCTTAAACCTCCAGATATTTTGGATACTTGTTCCACAATCTCTTTCCACCAGTCATGTATGTTGGGGATCAAACTTTTAAGAGTACTCAAACTACTTATTCCTGTCACCCATCTAATGTTCCCAAATTTCTGGCTACTAAAGAGTAGGTTTTTGTAAATGACTTAAAAATTTGAAAATATTTTTGCTCAATGCTCACAAAAATGGGTGAGGAGCCTATTTATCCTTTCAACTGTGTGATTATCCAATATTAGCAATATTCTATTTTATTTTCTGTGTTGTCAATCATCAATGTCACTAGTATAATATATTTACGACAATATATAGGGATATAATATAATACGTTATTATATTAAAATAAATGTATACTGACTCAATTTTAAGAACAGCAGTTTATCAATATTGAATTTTATCCATTTCACACATTCCTTTTAATAAATGTTAAAATAGATCAAACTCAAATTATATGTGAAATTGCTTAGACATGCTACCAACATTATTAAGTCAAATACTCCTTTGAGTCAAGCTTCATTCCCAAAGATTTTATTGTCACTTCCATCTATATTACTTATCAGCAATATGGAAGTTCATGATTTTTTTAATGTCTCAGTGTAGCCTATAACAGGATCACTTCCCCATCTGTTTATTAGATTTGAACAATTTCTCAAATTAGTCAATGTTGCTTGGATGATACTACTGTCTGTGAAATCAATATATTTACTACATTTAATAAAGAACTCACATTTTTACACAAAATCTATATTGTTTGTAATACACTATAGAATTGAACAAAATATAGATTAAAGAACCCATATTAATTTGTGGGCATAGGCATCACAAATTTGAACATTGTTTCCAAGTTTATTGCTTCATGTCCATGTATAATTACAGTGTTGAATTACATTGCATCCTTAGAGAGATAATGTTTCACAATGTGGTGAGTAAGTATAAGATGAAGAATAAGATGAACTGTTTGATTATGAACAATGTGTCTTGTTATTCAGCAATGATTTGCCAGCAGTGATGTAGCTGAGAAATTGAATACATATGGAACAAGATAGCTCTAAAGAGAGGAGCTAATGGCCTTTATTAGGACAAGAGCAGCTCAGATTACAATAGAGAATCATACAGGCATCATAGAATAAGCTATCACAAGCCTGAGTACTATTGCTACTGATAACAAATATTGCAAATTCATATGAGACAAAGATGAACATTTATTATTCATATTTACTTAGATATGTTTCATATGGATGGTTAAGCTGCATTTCCTATAAGACATTATTTAATCACTCATCTGGCAAAACTTCAGAGGAATAAAATTGATTGTATTTAAAATGGAACACTTAGGCTAGTATAGCCATTATAATGCAGATAACTATATTAAATCATTCTTGATTTACTTATAACTATATTGTAACTAATGAGATGTAAGGTTGAAAGTAATTGAAGAATCACCACCCTTGCATTCCATTTTTAGTAATGAAATACTTTGAATATATTAGTAACATTACGAGAAAAAGTTCACATCTTAATATGCTATAGACAGCTTCTGCAATGCATAATGTGAACAACGCTGATGGAGCCAGGAAAAATTTCTAACCAACTCCCAATTAATGTTTTAAAAGCATTAGGAGTAATAGTTCTTATGGCTCTAAGATGCATTCCTTAAAATATGGGTATACATATTTTAATATTCAGAGGTGGCCCTCTTTTTTTTAATGCAGAACCAGTTAATAAATTCTGACCACCAAGATTGTCCTGTTTTCCTTTCTATAAACCAAATATTTACAAGAAACTGCTTCTTCTTCTGGAATAAGAGTGTTCATTACATTACTCTCAGACATTTCCCATAGTTCATTGTCTCCTATGACAAATATTAGATATATGAAGATAAATAAGTTCCTTGAAATTGTTCTAATTTAAAAAAAATATTAGACTGTGCAGAAAGGAGTAGATTAACACTAGCAATTAAAGGAAAGGAAGAATCTTATTATAATATATGGGGGTTATTCTATTATTGGTTAGAAAATGAATATGGATAAAAAGTATAAAATTTAATAATCTAGAAAGAGAAAAGTTATATCAGGATATATGTTAAGTTGGAATGTTAAAATAAGAACAGATGTATATAAAGAAATTGGTGGGAAGCTATAACTATTATGACACAAAAAGATTGTACTCAGATGACACACTGATTGATGAAAGATGAAATGTTTGTTTTAAAGGGAAAATTAAATAAATAACTTTTACAAAAAGAAGAGAAACTGTAATTTAGATATCTTGTTATAAATTTTAAATATTCTATCAATCCAACACATTTGCATGTACCAGAATTAATATAAGATAATCACATAGGGTTATTATGTGAGGAAAATAGAAGTAAGAGGAAGATGTATTAGATATTGAGTTAGCTATAAAAGCAGGATGAAAATCTAATTAATATAAGATTGCTTTATTGCTTTTATCAGAATCCAAGATCTGATAATTAGATTCAAGCAAATAAGGCCATTGCCTCAATTTGAAATGTGAGCTAGATTATTTCAGAAAAGGAAAGGATTATTTAAGCAAATGCTCCATTCATGTAGTGGTACCTCATCTAGTTTGCAAAAATCAGTACTATCAGATGACAGCAAAGAGATATATAATACCCCAATTCTTTCCTGTCTTTTTCAAAGTGCTTCATATTTTTGCAGCTGAGTAATGGGTTTTATTGAATAACTACCACTCATAGTACTGGTGCTTTTCTTAATAACTGTTTTAACGTAAAATCTTTTTATGAACGGTGTTCTTTATTCATTTTGTATATTTTGGGAAAATATATATTGCATTTATTAACAATTATAGTATGTATTCAAGTGAACTCAATGCAGAATTGATTGATATAAGAAGTTTAATTCCTGTGCATTCTTGATGCTGATTGTCTCTTTACTATAGTATGAGATATGATGCTGTATTTATATTATTAGAGAGGCAAGGGCTATATGTATCTTGTATCTACTTTATCTTTTAACTCTCCATGAATCGTCAGGTAAATACTGATATCCACAATTTTTAAAAAGAAGAATACATGAAGATACGGAATGTAACAACTGTTGAATAAAGTTACCCATAGACACAATGTGCAGCTGAGAGCAGCCATTCATTGTTGATAAGAGAAGCTCCACAGGTGGGATTGTAATCAAAATACAGTGAGACTATCCAAGGCCAAGCACCTATTTGAGCATCAGAACCACCAACAATTCTTGGTTGAGATTTCTGGGTAATCATCCTTTTTCCACAAGCTATGGGTAAGGAAAATAAAAAGTGAAAAGTATGTGTTCTGAGAAATACCGTATTTTTTGCTCCATAAGACACACTTTGTTTCCTCCCCAAAGTGCAAATATGGGTGACAGGCAGCAGCGGTGAATGGCGGCAGTGATGCCCACCACATGGAATAGCTTATTGGCGGTATTCTGGGAAGCCAATCCAACAGCCGATCAGCTGCTCGGAGGCAAAGGCTTCAGCGTTCCCTGGGGGGCAGCAGACACAGAAGAGGCAGGCTGTTTGCTGCAAGGACACTAGCCAGATGCACTCTGGGAGGAAAAGGCAATTTTCCCCCTTGTTTTCCTCCCCTAAACCTAGGTGCGTCTTATGGTCAGGAGCGTCTTATGGAGCAAAAAATATAGTAATCAGATATGCTAATTTAGAGTACTCTGCAATAGAGTTTTGAATATTTTTTTGAATACAGGTAGTCCTTGACTTTACAATAATTTGTTTAGTGATTTTCAAAGTTACAGTGACACTAAAAAAGTAACTTATGATCTTCTTCACATTTATGATTGCTGCAGCATCCCCATGGCCATGTGATCAAAATTTGGATGCTTGGCAACTGATTCATATTTATGTGAGGTCATGTGGTCACCTTTTGCAAACTTCTGACAAGCAAATAGCAATAGCAGTTAGACTTATATACCGCTTCATAGGGCTTTCAGCCCTCTCTAAGTGGTTTACAGAGTCAGCATATCGCCCCCACAGTCTGGGTCCTCATTTTACCCACCTTGGAAGGATGCCGGTGAGATTTGAACCGCTGAACTGCAGATAGCAGTCAGCTGAAGTGGCCTGCAGTACTGCACTCTACCCACTGTGCCACTTCGGCTCAGCAAAGTCAACGGGGAAGCCAAATTCACTTAACAACCATGTTGTTTAATAATTGCAGTGATTCACTTAACAATTGTTGCAAGAAAGGTTATAAAATGGGGCAAAATCCACTTAATAAATAATTAACGAATTATTTTAAGATGATATATTTAGTTTACTGTGTATTATTTTCTGTGAAAACTATTGCTGGGTAAATAATATTTTTGTTATAAATTGTTTCTGTTGTTATTGCAATTCCTGTTTATTAATGAAAAAGGTCATTGCTGTAAAAATTCAAGGTATTAAAAAAATAATTTAATTTTTGAGGAAATTTACAGATATGCTGACTTTCATTGTATAATCCATACTGCAGCAATTTTTATCCTCCCTTGTTTTACATAGTTCAATAATTTCATATTTAAACCATCTTATGAAACAATGAAATAAAGAGCTTTATAAGGTAAACAATGTCAATAAACGTTCTGAAATGATTTAAAACTATTTAAAGTAAAAAATGTCAAAGAAATATTAATCAAATTCAAAATATTCTAAAAATGAAATAAAAAGTAGTTGTGAAGTTTTATCAATAACAACAAAAATTGCAGTAAACTGTAGAATGTATCTTTTGCACTATTAAATAGATCTACCTGGATTTTTGTCTAGTTGAAAAATGTCAGACTATTATAACAGCAACATGAAAAAAAATACAACAAAATCTGTTTCTTTCTTCCTCTTACTTCCCTTCCTGAAGGGAAGCACACTAAATGCTACCTGTATTTTTTTATAATGTTAATACATTTAGAAATACAAAATTATGGGCCAAAATAATGCAACAATACTATATTTTAAAATCATAAATATGTGAATAAATTCTGAAGGATCCTAAAACTAACACGAAAAATATTTTTTAGCAGTAAAAATGCCAACAGTGTAAACAGAAAATGTAATGTATTGGTAAAAAAATGTAAACAGTTACCCTTTTAAGTTGAATTTTTGATTTTTCATAAACTTACATTTACCAGTGCATTGCAAATGAATCACCGAATTATTCGAACACTTTACCCTAAGAAGAGAGCATATTTAATACAAATCAGGCAATAAAGTCCATACATAGATAATGCATTTTTTAAATCAAATACAATTTTCCATTTATCAACGGATGTTGTAAAGCTCTGTAAATACTCTAAAATATCATTTGACTTCTCTATGATGATGAATGACTATGTTTTTAAAAAGTCAATTATTTCCAATATAGTTATCCATAGTAATTAATCCTAGAAAAGGATAAATTTTAGAATTATCTGGCTCATAATTATCTATCACTTTACATATTTGTTGTTATTACCCATTTTTTAAACAGCTTGATGGAAAACAATACTACTTTTACATACAGTATATATGGGACTCTTCATAAAAGTTTAGAAACTGACCAAAGGAAACACAATGTTGGGTGTAAAGAGAAGTAAAAATTAAAAGACACGGTAGGCCAGACTGAATCAACTGATCTTTTACAATCACCAAAAGCTTTCAAATGTCTTAGACTCTTTCATCAGTCAAGAAGATTAAAGTCCAAGAGAGAAAGAAAAAGAGGAGGGAGTAGCAGAGCTTTGCGATAACTACACCTGTACTAGTTGGAGTTAGAACATGGTTATCAATAGCAAACAATTATGTTAAAATGCTGACATATGCACAACTGCATAATGATGTTATGACAACTGACAAAAGAATATAAATCTCATGATTTGTGCTATGATGTCATGACAGGGATTGCTCTTTGCCTCACCATAGATGCCATCTCATAGTAGAGAAATCAAGCAGAAACATTTAGATCAGGGATATTTCCAACCTTGGCAACAAGATTTGTAGACTTCAACTCCCAGAATTCCCCAGGCAACATGGCAGGCCACAAGTCTTAAAGTTGCCAAGATTGGACACCCATGATTTAGATAATCCAGAAGAGAAAATATTTCACCCTCTAGATCAGGGTTTCCCAACCACAGCAAATTTAAGGTATGTGACTTCAATTCAGTTGCAGTATATGCTATGTTCCAGAGCTCGTTGGGATAAACAAATATGAAAACAATTATAAAAATATTGGTAAGAAATACACATCCCTTAGGTCAGATTGACTCCAGCATTTCGGAGATACAATTGCTTAAATAAAGATTTTTAAAAGAACTACAGAGACACTGTGCTAAAAAGTAATACCTCATAGATATGCACTGTATTCTTGTATTTCATGGATTTTAAAAAATCCAGATCAAGTGCCTGAGTTGCATAGGTAACTTCGTGGACATAATTTTATAGTTTTATGATTACAAATCAAACTGCTTTGGCACTATTCTTCTGTTGAGAAGGATTTTTTCTTTTTACTTTTTAATCTAGTTTAGGGTTCTGGCATCCTATTAAATTTCCCACCCATGTACTGATCAGGCACTGCACTTTTTAGCTTCTTGTTCCAGTCAAGATCAGTCACCTACTGTCGCGAAGACATTATAGATGAACTTTAATTAGATATTAAGTTCATTTATTTTCAACATATAAAGCTTTAATGCCAGGATATGTTCTATGAGATCTTCTATTATGGATACATTATTACTATGATTAAGCAATTGCAGGACTATGAATTGTGATCTCACAAAGAATTCTTGGGGGATAGAACCTCCACTTTGGAAAATTTTAGGGTCACTTACCACTATACTATTTAGGCACCTAGGAGCTATTGTTTTCACTGTTGCTGTCTAAATAATAGCTTTTTTTTTACATCCACACATTTTAATGTAACATGTTTTACATTAGCTATTGTTGTTTTATTATTGTTTTAAATCTGATTGTAAGCAATATATGTTTTTAAACAAATAACATTCATATAAATACAATGATTGAAATAAACAGTTGCAAAATGAATTGATTAATTCTTAATGTGTTGTTTAATACAAGCACAAATGAGGCTAGCAATAACTTGTGTTGCTTTTCTTACAAGTAAAATGTAACTCTGTTTATTTCTTTATGTTTTAAATATTAAGTTAGTACATCTCACCATCCAATCAACAAGTCTGAGGCACTTTTAATTCATTTTAACTGTTCAATACTAATAAACATGGCTAACTTTAAAAATTTTATTTTACCATATTGATTATAAAACTAAATTTCTAGTTTCTATTAGATTTCTGGGATGACTAAAAGAACAAAAACAAAATAAAGTTGCATATAGGGACATAAAAGTAATATGTAACATATTTTTCACTTGAGCTTATCAAAATGATTTTTCTCTATGGGAATAAAATGAATTGGCAGTTCTATTGTTTGTGAGAAATGTTCTTGATTGAAATGTCTTCTCCAATAAGTGCTACCTTCATTTTCAAATATCTCCCCATTTTTTCTTTCAAAAACTATATTGGAGGGAAAGTTGAAAACAAACAAAAATATATATGCAAAGCTCTTTGATGAATTGAAATGTTTTAAAATATGCCTTACTACTATTGCTTTAATAACATAACAATTAAAAATTATGCTCCTATATACTATATACCAAATGCTATATTAATACAACATAGAACAGTAGGATTGGAAGGGATCTTGTAGATCTTCTTCTCCAACTCTTGCCAACATAAATCTTACATCTGGCAACTCTTCATATGTCAAGGTAGAAGGCAACACATAACTGACTTGGCTGATCTCAAAAATCTAAGCAGGGTTTACTCTGGTAATGATTCTTATAAAATGTAAGAGTTGATGTTTCAATGGAGAATTGGTTATGAGGTAAATGAAAGAAGGAGGAAGTGGCAAACAGACTCCACATTGTTGCCATATCCATAGTTGTTCTAAATTCTATTATAACAACTGATTATTAATATCAGAATATTAAGTGGTTACAAAAACTCCTTATTTTGACTCATATCAGTTGATGTTTGTGAGGGGACTGTTACTTTGTCCTAAATGTTCATTAATCTGTATGTTAGTTTATATGGAAATTTCCATACCTTTTGACAATTTTTACTGATAAATAATAAGAGAATTAAAGAGCAAAAAAAGAAAAAGGAAAAAAAATAGAAATTCCTACTCACCATATTTTCAATGATTTACTTATACTTTATTACTTATATAATTACTTATATTCATCATTTTTAACTGTCATTTATAAAACCTTACCTTGGTGTTAGTGTCAAGTTGCTGTTAGTTGTTTTTTTAATTTCTACAAATGGACCTGCCCCAGTAAACAAGACAGGAGATGACTCGTTCCCACTTCTAAAAGGAAAAACTTTGCTTAAAACATATCCTTTTAATTATAATAAATATATAGAAATTATTGTGCTGTATGATTTATGGTTTAATAAGATAAATAAATTACTTGCTAAACCTATTTTATAGCACATTTGGAAATGATTACTCTTAGGAAGAAATATGCTAAAACGAGCAATCAAAATATGCGAATAATTCTACCATCTATGCAAGGAATCAGAAAGAGAAACCTGTCATTTACCAAAGTTTGGAACTTACTTTGGACTTGGGCTACAAATTTCCCAAACTGATGGTCAAAATAGTTAGTTATTTTTTGACATTGGGCCTCCTATATCAAATTAAGAACTTGCATTTGTGAATCAATCTATCTGATTTAGACATGGAAATATTGTAGCTATTTGCATATGATTAAGAAGTCTGCATAGTAATAAAACTATACATGCATTTATAAATGAACATTTATAAATGAACATAATCTGCAAGCTGGATTCCAATATAACAATGATGGTATGGTGGTAGGGGAGAAAGTTAAAGGGGAGAGAAGGTAAATTGTTATAATTTAGATCTTCAGTTACCACTAATTATTCAATGTTAATATACAATGTTATAGTACTACATATGGAACTTCATGTTTTATTCTTGCATATTGAGGAAATGAAAATATAGACCAAATTCTGTACTGAATATCAGAATAAATTTAATAGAAATCATTAAAAAGTGATGAGATATCCTGGTAACTAGATAAAGCAACTATGAAAATACTAATGGCTAATAAACCAGTATTTGAAAGCTATTAGCTTCCTTCTTTTTTATTTTCTTATTTTTTACAGGGATTTGTCTGTGTGCGTGTGTGTGTGTGTGTATGTTTGTTCTTTAAAATATTATTGCTAGTATTATTTTCACTGTTGTTATTTTTAAAAGAGATCTTTTAAATAGTAGAAGGAAGGGAGATTTCCAAGTTTTCCTAGCTATTCTGGATTTGGCAGGTAAATTTCAATTATGTGTAATAATTGTAATTATTTTATAAAATCTGTATTTCCAGTGAATGGCAGTTATAGATTTAATATTAAAGGACTAACAGAAGAACAACTAAATGAATAATATATCTTATACTACAACAACAAGAACAACAACAGCATTCAGCATGTGCATGTGTTGATAAACAGTCAAAATGTCTTCCATATAAACATTTTTTCCTGACTAAAGTGTAATCAAATTGACATTGAGCAGACATGTCTTAGTTCTTGAAGAAAGTTTCTGCTGCTGGAAATGCCACTGGGAAAGCCAAGTATATTATACATTATGCAGAACATTGGAGCTTTATACCTGCTCTTTCTTCCAAACCTACAAGCCAGTATTATATCTGTTATATAAAGTATTAGCAGAAGAATTAGCTCTAAAAGAAAATATAATCCAAAACTTTACTTACCCTAGTTTTAACAGATTGCAGATACTGGTTGATAATTCTTCTGTCCACTGATTAGCACAAGCTGTAAACCATTGCGTCTCAATTTTGAATTGGACTAACCCATTGGAGCTGACAGAACCATTGATCAAGCGCACTGTCATAAAAGTAAGTTTTAACATTATAACACAGATTGAGGATTCATTTTATTCATAGAACACTGCGTATGATCAAGTTCAAATTTAGCAGATGTGAAAAGGTGTGATTTGAGCATCTTCCTGTTTTCCCTTTTCAAATCCAAATCAAATTCTGTAATAAAACTAGTGTCAGGGTCAGAAATGCTTCGTGAGTTAAGAATTAGATTTTGAAGTGAACATTGTTTTTTTTAATGCACCATTTTCCTGGCTCACATTGATGTGTTTAGTGCTGATTGTTCCATAGTTGTTCTTGAATTACTTGGGATCCATATAAACAGTGTATTTACCAAGTGAGAACGCATGAGCTTTTGGATGATGAACACTTTATATAGTACACTTAGAAACACTTAAATCGGGGTGCTAAACTCAAGGCCCGCAGGCCGGATTCACCCTGTGGAGTGCTGAGATTTGGCCCATGGTGACTCTTCCAGTGAAAACAGATCTCAGAAGGGCCACTCACTCCCAGTCTCCATTTTTGGCCACAACAGCCTCCTGCAGCCCTCTGCCAGTGAAAACGGAGCTCAGGGATGCCTGGTTCCTCCCTAAGCTCCAGAGAACTGCAGGAGGTCATTGCAACTGAAAATAGAGCCTGAGAGGCCCATGTATGGCCCTCTCAGCTCTGTTTTCACTGGCAGATGGCTGCAGGAGGTTGTTGCAGCTGAAAACAGAGCTCACAAGGGCTGCACATGGTCCTCCCAAGATATCTTTTCACTGGCAGTGGGTTTCAGGAGGTTGTCACAACAAAAACGGAGCCTTGGTGCCCATTCTTGCTGGCAAAGTGCTTGGGCCACTACAGGAGCCTCAGACACAAGTGACTTCAAGATGGCCACACCCACCCTGGCCATGCCCACCTCACCCCTCCCAAGGTAAAACACAACCTTGAAGTGACCCTCAATGAAATCAAATTTGACAACCCTGACTTAGATAATTCATAGGAATAAATCTTTAGCCGTATAGATTATTCTCAACCTCAGCAACTTTAAGATATATGGTCTTCAACTCCCACAATTCCTCAGTTAGCATGAGTTTGAGAAACATTGCTCTAGATCAGAACTGTCAAACTCGCGGCCTGTGGGCCGGATGTATCACACGCTGGAAACGCCCACAAGCAAAGAAAAGTCCCAATATGTCACATGACACCGCTGTGATGATGCAAGTTTGACATCCTTGCTCTAGATGTTACTAATCTATAATTTATGGTACCCCTGTAAGTATGGTGATATAGGCAGAAATTGCATTAAGTAACTTGCAGATCTCCATAAAATCTGCACTGCTGATAGGACCAACAAGGAACACTTAGAAAAACTTTCATGATTAGACATATGACCATATGTTTAAATGAGGATTATATCTTTAACCTGGGTCTGAATGTCACAAACACTACTATCCAACTATAAACCTATTGGATCTGCATTTACTCCTTGTACTGCAATTCATGTACTTAACCTGCTAAGAAAATTTTACAAAATGTTCCAGGTTTTCAAACAGCATATGCTTGGTGTGCTTTGATTAAGGATCTGTTATGAAAAGCAACAATAAAGTTTTCTTCCTCTTCAACAAACACAGTGGGACATGAAATAACAAGTGAGGATAAGATAGCTGACAAGAAATGTCTTGAGTTTTTTATACTAAGACTTAAGATATCCAATGTGAGGCAAACTGTCTACAAATCTATGTATCTATGCACACAAACCATTGTCAGTTCTTACAGATGATAAACTGTTACTGCTCTCACTTTTTTTAACCAGCCTCAGCATCATTTTATCATTGGATCTGCATATAAAACATTGCACATAGTCTATTATTTTTAGTTTATGTAAAGCAGAGCTATGCACAGAACATTTAATTTTGTAAATAACTACCTTCACAGATGTTGCTGTGACAACAGCTGTCATTGTTGTCAAAGTAACCTGCATCTGTGTTGTAAAACAGTTGAAATGTGGCTCGTCACAGCTGTTTTAAACTCCTGTCAAACACTTTTACTGGGCTTACATTTGGTCCTAAATTTCCTTGAAAAGAAGATTAAGGATGCTTTTTGGATGTGCTGAGCAGAATATATATAAGTCTGCACTGGCAGAAGCACCCCTACTCTTATTTGCAAAAAGAGACACTACAGCAAAATAAATATATTTTGGTTTCAAAGTATTAGACTGAAGTCTTCACTTACTAATACTTTCTATTTTCACTGCATAGAAAAAGAGAGGGGTCCTTGGTGCTGATGATGTTACCTAGTTTGGATAATGAAATGTTTGCAAGAAAACAACCAAGCTCAGAGACCAACAAGGACCCCACATTTCAACCTTGAGCTACAAATATTCTACTGTAATAGAAAAGGAGAGGCACAGAAACTAATGAAAGAAAACTGTGTACAGTTTTGGGTTTTTTTTTTTTTAGTGAGATGGTTGGATAGCCTCTTTTCTAAAAATTAGGCCCCTTCTCTGAAAGAGATCCGTGACGCCACAAAAATCTTTCCTGCCCACTTTAGAATAGCAGCTTGCCAGCATCTGTTGCTAGAATGTGTGGATTTTTCTTTTCTTTTTTTCTTTTACATTCCTATTCTTTTATTCAAAACTCTACCATTCATTCACATCAAATAACATGTCTTTCTTTTCTTCTTTTACATACAGAATCCAAGATACACTTGGGATTTTACTTTACTGTACACACGTTTCAAAGTACACACACCTTTCTCCCTTTGAAAATAGTTATCTTCCCTGAATTTGAGATTAGAAATGTTTGTTTTTTTAAAAAAATTATAAATATTTACCACAATCTGCTTCATCAGAACCATCTTTACAGTGCTGGAATTGATCACATATGTAACCCTGAGGTATACATTCTCCACTTCCACACTGATAATAATTCAATCCACATGAAGCTGTTAATGAAGAAGGCACAGATAGTGTGGTCCATGAAAATTAGTTAATAAATTAGCAGTTTTAATGTTTTTTTATAAAACCTTTTTTGTAACACATTTCTCATATTTCATGTGCAAGATAAAATATTTAATCTATTTTATATATTAATCATGATACACAATAGCCAAGTAATTTCAAGAAATGAACACTGAGAGTAAATATGAACTGCAATTAATATAGAAATCTTTTAGCGGTAGCACACTAAAGGCCAATAATACTTGGGCCACTGATAACTTCACAGTTAACTATCTTTGTTCTTCTTACTTTGCAGTTAATTTGTAGTGAAGAGAAGTAGCCAGAAAGATGTTTGAATTCTACCCTGCCCCCATGTTCCTTTTCGTTTGAAAAGCTATTTCCAAGAAATTTTGGAATTAGAAAAACACATTTATGAAGTAAAGATAGACAGAGTTCTTAGATTGTTCTAAACTATGATTCATTTAATCATGATCTACTGAAAAACTATAAGTGTCTCAATTGCACAATGCAGTAGGCCAAATGACAGCAGCTTGGGTGTCCTGGCTCCGTCCAAGCTGCTTCTCGCTGCCGTCGTGCTCCACTGCCTTGCTCCCCCTGCCACCTTCGACGAACAATCCTCTGCTTTCTTCAGCTCAGACGGTGCCAGCCAGCCCCCCCCCGCCCGACATGCTCCCCGCCTGGCTGGCCGGCTAG